ATTGCTGTGAAATTTCCATAGACATTGCCCAGTAATATGGCACACTACTGGGCACAGAATAAATAGCTGTTGGAACAGACAAAAACACAGCTGTCAAGAGCCACGGGCAAGGTGGGGAAAGTAACGGAAGATAAAATGATCTCAATTTCAAAGTCTGCCTGAAAAGCTTAAGTAGGACTTAGAATATTTGACATGCACTAGCTGATCTGATGTTCACCATCTGTTACTAGGCCCTGGAGGCTGACTGGCCATTAAACACAGAATGATGACTGGTGCAGCAGGTGCAGTGAAGTGGGAAGGTGTGGAGCAAATAAAACAAGTCCATGGCATCTATAAGAAGTGTTGACCCCCAGGAAATTTAAAGGTTCATGCACTGTGGTATTCATGACGTATGTGTGAGAGGTATGATGGCAAGTGTATTTCTCATGAAAGTACTTCAATTACTTGCATATTGTTATTTCTTTAGAATTCCCAGGTCCTACACTATACAATTACTTAAGACTCAAAGAGAACTGTGACTTGCTTTGACAGATTGCCCTTTAATGCAATGCATTGGCCCAGTGTCAATGGGAGTGTTGCCTGAGCTACACCCTTTGCTAAAATAATTTTCTAAACCTACTGCTGTGAGTCAACTGTTCTCTTCCCGTAAGTTTTCCTTGACACCCTTTGACATCTGCATCAAATTGAAGCTTCTTATTAGCACCTTTTAGGATTTCCAGCATTCCTCTTGATGCATCTTTTTTTTATTGGAGTATAGTCAATTTATAATGTGTTAATTTCTAGCGTACAATATAGTGATTCATTTATACGTATATATTTTCATATTTTTCCTTATAGACTATTACAAAGTATTGAATATAGTTCCCTGTGCTACACAGTAGGACCTTGTTGTTTATCTATTTTATATGTAGTAGTTAGTATCTGCAAATCCCAAACTCCCAATTTATCCCTCCCCATCCTCTTTTTCCCCGTTAACCTAAGTTTGTTTTCTGTGTCTGTGAGTCTGTTTCTGTTTTATAAATAAGTTTGTGTCCTTTTCTTTTTGAGAATTCACATATAAGTGATATCATATGGTATTTTTTTCTGTTTTACTTCACTTAGTATGGTAATCTCCATGTCCATCCATGTTGCTGCAAACGGCATGATTTTATTCTTTTTTATGGCTGAGTAGTATTCCATTGTATAAATATACCACAGCTCCTTTATCCAATCATCTGTCAGTGGACATTTAGGTTGTTTCCATGTCTTGGCTATTGTATACAGTGCTGCTATGAACATTAGGATGCATATAACTTTTTGAATTAGAGTTCTTTCCAGATATATGCCCAGGAATGAGATTGGTACATCATGTGGTAAGTCTATTTTCAGTCTTTTAAGGAATCTCCATACTGTTTTCCATAATGGCTGCACCAAAGTACATTCCAACCAATAGTGAAGGAGGGTTCCCTTTTCTCCACACCCTCTCCAACATTTACCATTTGTGGACTTTTTAACGATGGCCATTCTGACTGGTGTGAGGTGATCCCTCATTGTAGTTTTACTGCCTCTCTTTCTTATACTCTCACTTGAACTTCTCTCTCCTCAGTCTCTGTGCTCTGGCCCATTTACTCCCTTTCCTTTATCTTCCTGACACCCCCTCATTCTTCCATTTGTCTGCAACTGCTTCCTTTGTGCAGCCAACAAGTTCTCTTTTTTGTTAATGCAGTCCCTTCTTTATATAATTCTTTCTTAAGTTTTCAATATGGCTGGTGAGAAGCTTACAGACGGCAATTTTCCTACAAGTTGTCAGTATTCTACTGAGGACAGTCATTTCTTTATACATTAAATACAAGGGCACTGTACAGAAAAGTGGGGTTTTTTAACCTTTCTTTTCTCATCAATACTTTCTCTTTGTTCTTGATCCTCTTGTGAGCCTAAAGAGGTTTTACTTTTGTCTCTCACAATCAACATGCAGTTCAGCAGCGGTCCAGTTGCCTCCACCTCCAGTGTGCCCTAAGTGCCTTACCTCACCAGTCCAGGTCACCAGCCGTTCTTGCCTGGATGCTCTTGTCTCTTCTCTACACAGCAGCCTGGGGGGTCCTTTCAAAACAAGTCAGCTCATGCTACTCCCATGCTCAAAAGTTCTTGCCACCTTCATGCATCTTTCAAAATAAATGCAGTTATGATGGTCATCAGGTTCCACACAATCTGACCGAGCTCCTCCTCGGACCTCATCTGTCTCTCTCCCCCTACCCATTCCATCCCAGTCTCCTCCATCAGCTTCTTCCCGTCTTGTCAGTCTGCTCCTGCTCTTCCTGTGCCACTGTTTCTCCAGAACACCCCCTCATTTCATTCAGGTTTCTACTCATATTTGCTTCCTAAGACCTTTCCCGACTACTAAAATAGCACTACTTGTGTCCCTCTGTTCCTTTACCCTGCTTCAGTTTTCTTCGTAGGGCTCCCATCTGTCTCCTCTAGTATTTATGTAATTCTTATTTAGTTATTTTCTGCTTCCAAGCTATAGCCCTAAAAAATAACAGGAAGGTAAAAACAGTGAAAGGACGAACTTTATTGGTTTTGTTTTCTGCATCTGCCCACTGTGCCTCCTACAAAGCTGCCCAGCACAATAGAAGTTTCTCTCTGCGAGTGTATGTTGAGTGAAAGAATGTTAAGTGTTCTATGCCCCTGGACACCCTTTGCTAAAATAATTTTCAGAAGTAGCAAAGCAGTGGAGGCCTCATTGCCCAGCCAAACCTATTCTCAATTAAGCACTGGTGATCTTTGAATATGCTGGATGCATAAGAAAGAAGCCACAAGGACGCTAACACGCTGGCGAATTCCCAAACTTGACCAGTTTTCACGAAAGCAGTAGTGCCACTGCCTCTCTAAAAGTGGATGGAATACACAGCCAGACTCTCCTACTCTGTTTTATGGTAAAATATAGTGCTGGAGCTAACGTTGGGTGGGACATTTTTCCCAGGTAAGTTCCAGTACACAGGTCATGGGTTCCAGACAACTAATTTGGATTGGTTGACATTTTTAGTAAAGCAAAGACAAAGATTTTCTCCACCCATCTTCCTTCACTCAGATTCCAAGCACCTCTGCTGTGATTTTTGACACCACCACGTCCTAGACGTGTTATTAGCACATTGCCTGAGATACCTGCTCTGTGAGCCACAGATGGGCTTATTTTCTAAACATGGTGACATTTTTGACTTAACCTTGTGTGCCCTAAAAATTTATTGGACTTTATTAAGAAGTCTTTCATTCCATTGAGATGCTGTCCTGACTGTAGCTGTTGAAGGAGTCCCCCTTCACCCAGGCATCAGGAACCCTTCTGAGAGAGGAATATGGAATAAGGTTGAAATACTTTAGCCATTAACTTGAGGATTCTTGAATTTCAGTTTATTTGGATTCCTTATTCGAAAGAGGAAGATAGCTAATATAGACAAATTTCTTTGGACTTCACCTTACCTTAACATGCAGGAGGATTTAAATTTTGTACTTTAATTTCTTCCAAGGATTTTTTTTTAATGGAACAGGATTTATATTCAAAAGTGGGGCATCTCTATATTGTCAGAATTTTATGATTGAAGTGCTTTTATTATACATTTTATTATCACTTATTAAATTATCATTTAATCTCACTGCAGAACCTCTGATTGGCTGTACTGGATAATACAATGGACATAACTTGGGATGGTAAGAAGAAAGAGGAGGTTTTCCTTTTCCTTTTCAGTCCTGAGTATAGTGTGGTCTTAGAGTCCATTGAATTAATGAACTATTTTTCTCCATTTTGCAATTGCTGGGGACAAAATCTAAATTGCTCACCACTGGTCCCGAGAAGATGCATAAAGGACTGATTGGCACTGGGGCAATGACCTCATCAGGTCCTGCTCTGGTCGGCAGCTGGTCAGATTTGGTCCAAATCCGTATCTTTACCATAGACGGATGGTTATGTATAATGGGCTGAGAATATAAAGATCTGGGGAATGAGGACCTGGGGTGGGGGGTTCCTCTTTTCTAATCCTTAATGTTAGTTTAATGTGGAGTGTATAATAATCTTTGTCTCACTCCTGCCCTCCCTCACTCCTTTCATGTGTTATGAATTACCCAGTTCTGGAATAATTCAAATGAGAGTCTTGAATAAGAAATGCATAGTTCTGTCCTTTCCCTACCCTTCTTCTTTGGCCCTGCCTGCCAGAAGAAAGTGTGTCCTTCTGTGCTGCCCGTCCACACTCTTAAGTTGTATGGGGCAGCTCCAGCCGGTCACACTGACGTCTGGTGTTGTCTGAGAAGGGATTGTCTCTCTCTGGTGTCCTCTTGTCCACAGACGGACGCCACACTCTCCAGTATTAACTATCAGCCATAGGTTATTCTGTCATCTGTCCTTTCTTAACCGTTTTCTCAAATGGCCTGAATTTGGGGGAGCAGAAAAGTGTAATTGATAGTTTCCCCACTCAAATCCTAAGGCTACGATAAGGGTATTTTGTTTCTTGGCTAAAAAGGAGATCAGGACAATTCGTCACTTCTCAGAGCATCTCACTGAGCTCAGTGGAAAAGAAAAATATCAACCATATGAGTGTTATAATCTAAAAATACACTGTAGCTAGGAAATATAAATGTTCTCAATTTGACTAAATGGAGAGCTATTTAAGAATATACTTAAGTGACTAATTAGAATAATGTGGGGAATTATTGCAGCAGCACTGAGATGTCTTGAACCCTGACCTCTAGCCATGAGACTGCTTTAGTTTAAGCTGCCATACTGTACTTAATCCATTCTACTGTGTCACAGAATGTTTATTTTCCACATTTCTAGCCCATTAACATCTCTAATACAACGC